AGTGATCTGCAAGGCAGGCTCTTGATTGTGGTCGGCCCCGCCTCGCGTGCCCCGGTGTGCTCCGCTCGCCCGCCCCCTGTCGCCCCGCTTGCCGCACCGCTGCTCCCGCCCTGCCGGTCCCTGCCTCTGCCCACGCCGAGGTCTACCACCGCGGCTTTTTCAACGGTGCTGAGGATGGTCTTGACTAGCGCGGGCGATTCAGCCTGACCCCGATGCCCGCCTGGATAAACGTGAGCGCTTTTCTTTCCTCCGTCGTCCCTTTGTCTGCCTTGCTGCCCTCCAGGCTTTCTGCTGCTCGCATAACCCTTCGCTGTCCGTACCGCTTCTTCCCCTCCCCCTCTCTGTTTGTCCTGCCTTTCAAGTTCCCTATGACATCTCGTTTTGCCCCTTCAATGTTCCTCGCGCCTGCTTTCTGATTCTTATCTTACTGTGTTGTCAGGGCGAGGCGGCCCGAACGGTCTTTCTTTTTCCCTGTGCGCGCGTGGCTGAATGGAGGGCTCCGTCTCTGTGGGCGGTTTTCGAGGGCAACACATTGGGGTCACACTTAGGGGCAATGGAAGGGGGGCGACACTAGGGGGCAACACATGGGTGCAGCGCACGGGGGGCAACGCATGGGGGCAACACGCGGGGGCGACACATGGGGGCAACACATGGGGGCGTCATGCGGCGGCGATTCTTGGGTGCAGTACCTGGGGGGCGGTAGCCTGGGGGCAGAGCATGGAGGCGACACCTGGGGGCACTCCATGGGAACAGCACTTGGGGGCAGTGCGTGGGGGCGATACTTCTGCCCCCGCCGCCGCCCCCGCATTCCTACCCGCAAACGGGGGGGTGGGGCTACGTATGACTCGCATGATATCGGTACAATGATTGGTGCTAGTCTTCGCATTACCATGTGTTTCCAAGCATGGTGACATGCAAACATATATATATATATATATATATATATTTATGCAGACCTTTTACTCCCACTGCCCGTCATTGTTGATTGTTATGCGTACATCCTCTCTGTCTTCGTCTCTGTCTCTTTCCTCCTTTCCGCAGTCGCCTTCAGGCGCGCTCCCGCGCGCAGTCGTCATCGTCGTCGTCGTCGTCGTCGTCCTCGTCGTTGTCGTCGTCGTCGTCGTCGTCGTCCTCGTCGCCGTCGTCGTCGTCGGCGCTCTTCTCCGTCCCCTCTCCGCCCCATCACTCAATTCTGTTGGACGGTCGAATCTCAATCCATACCCTTGCTGCAGGATGAGGAGGAGGAAGAGGAGGAGGAGAGGAGGAGGAGGAGGAGAAGGAGGAGGAGGAGGAGGCGGAGGAGGAGGAACAGGAGGAGCAGGAGGAGCAGGAGGATACGGGGATACGGACACAGACCTCTCAGCATTGCACATCCCCACGACTAGAGTGAGGCACAAGGGGCCAACGCCCCCGCACGAATCGCGAAAAGGGTTGGGCCTTTGGACTGCATGTTGGTCCCTCCTTCCATCCATCCTGCCACCCGCCCGCGGCCGCCTCCAAGGGTTAAGCAAGGCGCGGATGTAGCGGAGAGCCAGCGCGGCTCTTACGCTCCTCCTGCGAAGCGCCTCGGTTCGCCGAGGCGGCCTTCTTACGGCGAGGGACCTCGCCGCTGGTCGGGTGTTGCTCGAAGTGGTCCTGACCCGACGTGTCCTCGGCTTCTTGTGCCGGGCCTTGCGAGGGGTGCTCTGGAGGCCAGGTGAGCCTCCCCCAGGGATCCTCTGGACACCTCGGACCAGGGACACCGTTCTGGACTTTCGGCAACACCCGAGCGGGTCTGGCCTTCGTCACCGCGTGTGTGGCGGTTCCCCCCCCCTCCACCCCAAATCACGCGCACGCGCCTGAGCTGGGCACGGCGCCGCCGAGGCGCTTGACCGCTCGCTCTGCACGCGCGGCGCAAAAAAATATGACGAGGCAAGATTTTCAATGTCAGGGCATCCCAGGCTTGCATTGCGATGTCCTGATGTAGACTGTAGACCCGATTCCACGACAGGATCTCGAAATCGAGCTGTTTTGTGTGTGTGCCTTTGCCAGGGTTTGGATGGGCCGCGGCTTGCATCGCAGAGCCCGCGTTAGCAGTCGGATGCTCATTTTCGTCAGCGATACCAACACGAGTGCACCCATCAGCAGGCCAGCGGGCCACGTTCGCGATCGGCGGATCCGTGCGCGCGCAGCTGCGAGCGCAACTCGGCCGTTTTCGGACGGGGCGAGGACGAGGATACCCCCCCGACGCTTCCTGAGGAACTCGGAGTCAGTTTCTTCTGGTCTTGCTCCTCGGTGGAGGCCCCTGGGTGCCCGAGAGGGACCACGAGCGTCCCGAAGGCACGGGTCCTTGCCCCTCGATCCTCCAAGCTCGACCCTTTTCTCGTCAACTGCAGCGGCGACGGCGCATATCCGTTATCCAAACATTTGGTGGCCTGTCGCGCGAATCCGCCGCCGCGCTCGGGTGCGGAAGGCACAGCACGTGACGCGGGGACTTGGTCCCACAAGTGAACTTCGGTTGGGCACGATGCGTTTTGAGGCCCTCGACTTGGGACCTCTCCTCTTCAGCATCGACACCGAAGGCCTTTGACTACTGGTGGCCTTCGGCCCACTCCACCACCGTACCTGTGTCGCGGACAAGAGGTCTCTTAGAGGTGCCTTTTGGGAGCCTCATGTGAGCCCTTGGGGGCCTCACGGAGCTCGGAGGTATCCCAGGGTCTCTTGTGTGCTTCTGGGGGCCTCTTCGAGGCCTGCTGACGATCTTGTGGGCGATCCTTGGGGCCAGGGCTAGAAATACCAGCTTGGGTCCCCCCTCTCGGGGGCCATGCGGCGCGCACGGGGGGATGGCGCGAGGGAGTGGGCTTCCGAGAAGGCGGAATGTGTCAGAAGGCAGGGGCCTTTTCAGAAGGGCCTTCTGAGAAGCCTTCTTGGAAGCGGGGAGGGCTTCTAAGAAACCCTCTGCCTTGTTAGACCCCCCCCCCACCTTCTCAGAAGGCCGCCCCCCATCGCGCCACTTTCCTGTGCTTGGACCGTCTTGGACGCTCTTCATATCGATCATCTGAGAACGCCGAATTTCAGTTTTGGCTTCGTGGGCTGGCCCCAGGACATCGAGACGACCCAAGCAGGACCAAGAGGCGTCCGAGGGGGCTCCAGCACGAGCCCCGTGACCATCTCGGGCCATGCTGGACGTGTGGGGTGCCATGCACGCTCCCGCGCTCCGGGGCCTCCGAGGACGTCGCGCCAGGACTGCCCGCAGGAGCGCGCGAGATTGCCGAAAAGCTCGTGCACAGCACAGGAACTGCCCAGAGCTCGGGGCGAAGAGCACCTAACAACGCTCAGCACGGAGAGTCCGACGGGGCCCGAGGGTTTTCCAATCGGGCTCTTGGGGCACGGGGCTCCGGGAGGAGGAGGAGGAGGAGGAGGAGGAGGGAAGGACGAAAGGCAGAACGGAAAGACGGAAGGAGTGAGGAAAGAGTGAGTGAGGAAGGATGATGAAGGTGAGGGTGGTCGAGTAGAAAGGGATGAGGTACGACGACGACGACAGTGACGATGACGGCGACGACGACGATTGTTGCTGCTGCTGATGATGATGTTGGTGGTTGTGATGTTGATGATGATGGTGGTAGTGGTGGTGCTGATGATGATGCTGATGCTGATGCGTATGGTGATGACGATGCTGATGAGGAGGATGATGGTGATGCTTGTGATGATGATGCTGCTGATGATGGTGATGCTGATGACGACGATGACGATGTCGATGACGATCATGATGCTGATGCTGATGCTGATGCTGATGGTGCTGCCGATGATGATGGTGGTGGTGATGGAAATGATGCTGCTGATGATGCTGATGCTGACGATGCCGATGCTGATGAGATTGATGATGTCATTGATGGTGCTGCTGATGATAATGCTGGTGGTGGTGAAGATGATGACGAACATGATGATGATGCCGATGCTGATGATGATGGTGACTATGCTGATGATGATTTGGATGTTGTTTATGCTGTTGTTGATGATCATTGTGATTGTGACGATGATGACAACGACGATGGTGATTATGATGATGATGCTGACGATGATGATGAGGATGAGCATGATGCTGATTATGATTCTGATGATGCTAATGATGCTGATGATTATGATGATGGTGGTGGTGGTGGTGAGGGTGGTGATGGTGGTGGTGGTGATGATGATGCTGATGATGCTGCTGCAGGCGGAGGAGAATGATGTTGATGATGTTGATGTTGATGTTGATGTTGATGATGCTGATGATGATGATGATGATGATAATGCTGATGATGCTGATGATAATGCTGATGCTGATGCTGATGCTAATGATCATGATGCTGATGATGATGATGATGATGATGATGATGATGATGATGGTGGTGGTGCTGGAGATGATGATGCTGATGGTGATGATGATGCTGATGATGATGCTGCTGCTGATGATGATGCTGATGATGATGCTGATGCTGATGATGCTGATGATGATGCTGACGATGATGATGACGAGGATGATGATGATGATGATGATGATGATGATGATGATGATGATGATGATGATGATTATGCTGATGATGATAATGATGATGATGATGATGATGATGCTGATGATGATGATGCTGATGATGATGACACTGATGATGATGATGATGATGATGATGATGATGACGATGCTGATGTTGATGATGATGATGATGCTGTGATGATGATGATGATGATGATGATGGTTGTGGTGGTGGTGATGATGATGATGATGATGATGATGATGATGATGTGATGATGATGATGATGATGATGATTGATGATGATGATGATGATGATGATGATGATGATGATGATATGGAGGAGTATGAGGAGGAGGAGGAGGAGGAGGAGGAGGAGGAGGAGGAGGAAGAGGAGGACGAGGAGGAAGAGGAGGAGGAGGAGGAGAAGGAGGAGGAGGATGCTGAAGGGGATACGGCGGCGGACGGACACGTTGAGCCCCGTGGCCCGCATTCCCGCGCCGCCACGCCAGCGGGGCCCCTTGCCGCATCCTCCCGAGCCGCAGGGCGGGGTGGGGGGCGGGGCGCGATGGGGCAGATCGGCTCGAGCCCCTCGGGCCTGGGCAAGCTCTTCACGCTCTGTCCGCACGACTTCTACGAGGAAGCGGCTCCGGGAGGAGGCGGAGGCGGAGGCGGAGGCGGAGGCGGAGGCGGAGGCCGGAGGCGGAGGCGGAGGCGGAGGCGGAGGCGGAGGCGGAGGCGGAGGCGGAGGCGGAGGCGGAGGCGGAGGCGGAGGCGGAGGCGGAGGCGGAGGCGGAGGAGGAGAAGAAGGAGGAGGAGGAGAAGGAGGAGGAGGAGGCGGCGGCGGAGGCGGGGCGGAGGAGGAGGAGGAGGAGGAGGAGGAGGAGGAGGGAGGAATTGGAGGAGGAGGAGGAGGAGGAGGAGGAGGAGGAGGAGGAGGAGGAGGAGAGGCGGAGAGGAGGAGGAGGAGGGAGAGGAGGAGGAGGAGGCGGGAGGAGGAGGCGGAGGAGGAGGAGGAGGCGGAGGAGGAGGAGGAGGAGGAGGAGGAGGAGGAGGAGGAGGAGGAGGAGGAGGGAGGAGGCGGAGGAGGCGGAGGCGGAGGCGGAGGCGGAGGCGGAGGCGGAGGCGGAGGCGGAGGCGGAGGCGGAGGAGGAGGAGGAGGCGGAGGCGGAAGCGGAGGAGGAGGCGGAGGAGGAGGAGGAGGAGGAATTGGAGGAGGAGGAGGAGGAAGATGATGAGGAGGAGGAGGAAGAGGAATAATAATAAGAGGAATAATAATAGTAAACATAAGAAAATACTCATACGAAGAAACATAAGAATACTCAGACTAATAAGACGACGCGTACTAATCATAAGAAGAATACGACGAAGAATACTACGAATACGAATAATCTACTACTACTAATAATAATACTGATGATACGAATACTACTTCTAATATTAATAACAATACTAGTAATGATAATGCTGATGATGATGATGCTGCTGATGATGATGCCGATGATGATGATGATGCTGCTGATGATGATGATGAGTATGACAATAATAATAGTAACAATAATACTAATGATAATAATAATACTGTTTATTCGAATGATAATAATAGTAGGAATACTCATAAGATTAATAATAATACTACTACTACGAATAATACTACTAATACTATTAATAATATTAATGGCAATAATAATAATAGTAATAATGATAGTTATACGAATAATAGTACTAATACTACTAATGATATTAATAATACTAACAATACTAATAGGAATAGTAATAATAGTTATACTAATATTAATCATACTAATAGTAATACTAATAACAATAATGAAACTAATAATGCTATGAATAATAATAATGATAATAACAATACTAATAATACTAATAATACTACTAATAATAATACTAATATTACTTGTTCATACTAATAATAATACTAATCATACGAATGATACTTTTAATAAGAATGGTAATAACAACAATAATAATACTAATAATAATACTACGAATAATAATAAAAAAAAACATACTAATAGTAATCACAATAATAATACTAATAGTAATATTTATAATAATAATAATAATAATAATAATAGTAATTATAGTAATACTCATAATACTGATAATACGAACAGTAATACTAATACTATTCATATTATTAGTGGTAAGAATAGTAAAAAGACGAATGCGACTACCACTAACACAATAAGACGAGGAGGATGAGGCGGAGCAGGGGGAGGAGGAGGGATGAGGGAGGAGGGGGGAGGGAGGAGGTATGAGGGAGGAGGGCTGAGGAAATAGGAGGAGGGAGGAGGGAGAGGAACAGGAGGAGGAGGGAGGGTGGGGAGGATGGGAGGGGAGGGAGGGGAGGGAGGAGGGAGGAGGGAGGAGGAGGGAGGGAGGAGGGGAGGGAGGAAGGGAGGAGGGAAGGAGGAGGAGGAGGAGGGAGGAGGGAGGATGGAGGAGGAAGAGGAGGAGAGAGGAGGAGGAGGAGGAGGAGGGAGGAGGAGAGAGGAGGCGGAGGAAGAGGCGGAGGAAGGAGGGGAGGGGAGGAGGGAGGAGGGAGGAGGGAGAGGAGGGAGGCGGAGGGAGGCGGAGGGATGAGGAGGGAGGAGAGGGAGGAGCGGGAGGAGGAGGAGGAGGGAGGGATGGAGGAGGGAGGGGGAGGGGGGAGGGGGGAGGGGGAGGAGGGAGGAGGGAGGGAGGAGGGAGGGAGAGGGAGGGGGGAGGAGGGAGGAGGGAGGAGGGAGGAGGGGGAGGAGGGAGGAGGGAGGAGGGAGGAGGGAGGAGGCAGGGAGGAGGAGGAGGGGAGGAGGAAGGGAGGGAGGAGGGAGGAGGGAGGAGGGAGGCGGGAGGCGGGAGGCGGAGCGAGGAGGAGGAGGGAGGAGGGAGGAGGAGGGGGAGGAGGAGGGGAGGAGGGGGGGGGAGGGGGGAGGGGGGAGGGAGGAGGGAGGAGGGAGGAGGGAGGAGGGAGGAGGGAGGAGGGAGATGGAGGATGGAAGAGGGAGGAGGGAGGAGGGAGGGAGGAGGGCTAAGATAAGATAAGACCGATCGCGAAGCGAGTTCAATTAAAGGACTAGGAGGATCTAGCCGCCTTCTCAGCTTTGCTGAGAACTTTGGGCATAAGACCTCTGGAAATTCGGTCGAGATATTCTCGCCGATTCTTGGTAAGTGGGGCTCTGGGTGGGGCCTTGCGCTCATCAGCCAAACCACGGAGCTGCTGCTGATGGCAGGAACCGCACGCCGCACAATACCAGAGAGACAACACTTCATTATACAGCGCCATGTGAGACGGGTGAACCCATCCTCCAGCGAGATGTAAACGCTCCCCCCGAGGCACCCTGAAAACCCCCGTAGTCTGCAACTCTAGTTGAAAACAGGGCGACCCAAGAAACTCCTTAGTCGCTGCCACCGTCGTGGACCCTCGGCAAACTAAACAATTTTTTCCGCACTCCGAGAGACGATGGGCCGAGCCAAAAAGGGCCACCGTGGCAGGGGCAGGAGGAGGGGCCCCGGCAGGAAGGCGGGCAGACCTGGGGACCTTCTTTTTCTCATCCTGAGCGGCGGCGTCGAGCGTAGCTCTCAGAAGTCTCTGCCGAATGAGGCTTATCTCATGCTCCACTCTGTGCACTCTCGCCCTCTGAGCCTCGGGCACGCGCGCAGCTCGCGCAGCCACGGCGGCCAGCTCGTCGACGAAGACGTTGCCAGCCACAAAGCGGCTGACGAGGCCGCGGTCGACCACCTCCTCGCCCGAGACGTGGGACGGGACCTTGACCACCGCTACCTGCGTGTGGTGCCGATCCTGGGCTCGGAGCTCCGCGCCAAGGTCGCGCCAGAGGTCGTCGTTGGTACCCTGGGGCTTGAGGAACAGTTGAGACCACCATCCTCGACACACCTCCTCGTTGTCCGTAATGAAAACCATGCAACCTGAAGACCACCGTACCCCTAGGAGCAGGGCCAGTAGTTCACCTCTTGGAACCGTTTGCCTGGGTCCAGGCAGTGGTCCGAAAACAAATTTGGAATATGGTCCAGGCTCTTCTCCTACAGCCGATACAGCTAACCCAATCCGACGAAGTCGGGGATCATGAGCATCGCAGCCGCCTGAAGCATCGCCATGAATCAGAAGGGGCTCCAGCTCGGAACCCTCGCCGAAGTAGTGCTGGTTGAGGTCGTCGTTGTGGCTGACCTGCCAGCACTCCTCACTCGGAGGAGGGTCCACAGCTGTGAGATGCGAGGGAAGAGGCCCTCGATACCAGTAGCACTCCATACTATCTCCTTGCGTCAGCGCTTTGTGGCAGACGTCTCGAGATAAGTCATATGCTGCTGAACCTGAATTGCACCGACATGCCCAGAAACGGTGCTTGGGCGTCTCTGGGCCTTCTCCACATCTTGAGCACACTGCGGGAACTTTGTACCCAGCCTCTGCTTTACGCGCTGCTGGCCAAGCTCCCCCGACAACTATGGTAAGTAGCAGATGTGCCAACCGACGCCCCACCTTGGGAATCTGCTCTAGTCGAAACAACTGCTTCCTCAAACTGAAATTGTCGACTCCTTCTTCCATGCCACCTCCACAGAAAGTAGAAGCAGCTGCCTGCCGCCTGTATCGAACGAGCAAAAGCGTCCAGCAACTCCACTGCTTGATCACTGCCTTGAAATTCTGGTCCGTCGAAATTCCATCCATCTTGGCGCCCGTCGGTGTCAGCTGCTTGATACCAAAGGGCTGGCTGAGGGATCTCCCACCCTGCGTCAAGAAGATAATGCACAACCGCGGTGAGAGGACCTCTGATGTGACGAGCCCTGTGACATGGCTCCAGCTGCTGAAACTCTGACACTGTGGCGCTCCATACTTTGGATACTGGTACTCGAAAACGCGGTGCCTCAAGCCATACACGCAACCATTCAGCAAGGCACTGGCGAGGCAGAGCATACCCTGGATCAGCGCCTGGTGCTCTGATATCTAACAAGGTTGTCAGACATCGTTCTCGTCGATGGCCTCCGCACACAACGCCAAGGCGTCGCCGAAGGTGCAGTAGTGACGATGCTGGGAGCCCGTGTATCTGGTGGCCGTACCTCGCACCTGCCTGCGGCCCTGCCAACTCCACTTTCTGCAAGACTCGAAAACGTTTGGACGCGAAAGCGTACCGTCGGACTTTGCGATGCTGCTTGAGAGTATTGGCAAACCGTTTCCGTCGCGTAGCTCGTCCCAGCCTTTTGCCACTCGCCAGATCAACACCAAGATAAGGCATTTGTGGCGCGGCTGTCACATGGATGCCTCGTCTCCGCAATCGTTGTTGGACAAACTTGGCGTCGCGCATATCTGAACATGTGACCGCGCTTTTCTTTGCCAGCTGGAGAGACTATTATGAGAGCAGATCGTTCGTCGACGTGATACCTTCCACTAGATTTTCTCGCACCGAGGCCCGTGACCCTACAGCTGTCTGAGAAAGATCATCAATCCAGAGTCTTTCCAGCAGCTGTGGGTGACACACCGTAAGCCGAGACATGATCATATTGGTAACCACTTTTGCGAACCTTGTCCCACTTCTCAAACCCTGTATGATACTGCGCGTGCCCTGAAATGGGCAAGATACTGCATCCCCTTGATCCAGAAGTCGTGGTCCAGCACAGGTTTGCAGCTCC